GTTAATGCTCTCTACTGCCACCTTTTTTATTTTTTTTAAATTTATTCATAGTGTTCTTAGGCTCCAGAATTTTTCTTTGATTCTTTTTTATGATTTCTATCTTTGTTAAACTACTCATTTTTTTAGAGTTTTCTTCAACTTAAGAAGAAACTGAATAAAAGTAAATGTCCATAAACTACTCATTTTTAAATGTATTGTTTTACTGATTTCATTGAATTGTCCTTCGCTTTCTTACAATTTATTGAGAGTCCTTAAAGCAGCTATTTTGAATTCTTTATCTGGTAACTTGCAGATCTCCATTGTCTTTGAGATAAGTTACTTGAAGATTATTATGATCCTTTGGTAATCTGTTTCCTGGATTTTTCATGTTTTTGAAGTCTTGTGTTGCTATCTTCACACTTGAAGTAGCAATCCACCTCCTCAATCTTTGCCAACTGCCTTTGGGAGAGAAATACCTTCCATTAGCCCAGCTAGGCATTCTGTCTTTCAGACCTTCCATGGATACATTTGCTTCACGTTTCTTGCTCCCTCTTGTGGTAGAATTCCTAAGCTCCATGCCTTTTCTGGATCCTGCAATGGAAAAGGCGGGTGATGACACTCCCTTTTGTTTTCCAAAGGTGGGTGTGTGCTCACTATTTCTTTGCCCAAACTGGCTCTCACCACCACTGGGAACGCACAGGGAGCTGCTCACAGGGTAGGAGTGTGTGTGGATGAGGTATGTGGTGTGCCGGGGTGCCTATGGGCCAGTTGGGGGATCTTCAGTGACTCTAGTGCAGCGGTTCTCAACCTGTGGGTCTCGACCCCTTTGGCAGTCGAACGACCCTTTCACAGGGGTCGCCTAAAGACCATCCTGCATATCAGATATTTACATTACGATTCATAACAGTAGTAACATTACAGTTATGAAGTAGCAACGAAAATAATTTTATGGTTGGTGGTCACCACAACATGAGGAACTGTATTTAAAGGGCCAGAAGGTTGAGAACTACTGCCTAGTGGCTCATGGGCAGGCTTCTTGATAGATAGAGTCTGTGATGCATTTAGCAGTGTTGATGTCCCTTTAGGTTCCTCTGAGAATTCTATCTCCTGCTCTCCCAGTCTCACCATTCGGTACTCTGGTCAGGACAAGAGAGAAAGAGACTCCTTAGCAGCATCTGGCACAGCTGGGGAAGCTGGGTGCTCACTCTAGTGCTCTCACTCTCCTGCGGGAGAAATCATGGCTGAAAAGGTCTCTCTGGGCCCTAAGCGGGGCTGCCTTAGGGGAGGGGTGGTGCTGGCAAAGTCAATCTGCTCCTCTTGCCCTCATATTTTTTGCTCTGATGATGTGCTGGAACTTGTCCACTGGAAACCTGGACTCCTACCAAAGTTCTTTCATGGGTGATGGTCCAAGATGGTGTTTTCCAGGGGCTCCCAGATTGTGGCCAGGAGGGGTGGAGGCAGTTCATGGGCCACTGCAGCCACTGCAGCCGGGACCGAGGTGTGTATGCCTATTATCTGATGCATAGGTGGTGATGCTCCTGGGTTCCTTGGCATATGATCCTGCACCCCACAGCTCCCACAAGGGCGCTTTTGCTTGTGGACGTTACATTGTTTTGGTGGGGGGGGGGGGCAGGACATGACGAGGGATCTATCTTATTGAACTGCAATGCTGACATCTCCACAAAGCTTTTTATTTATTTATTTATTTATTTTTAAAAAATATATTTTATTGATTTTTTACAGAGAGGAAGGGAGAGAGATAGAGAGCCAGAAACATCGGTGAGAGAGAAACATTGATCAGCTGCCTCCTGCACATCTCCCACTGGGGATGTGCCCACAACCCAGGCACATGCCCTTGACCGGAATCGAACCTGGGACCTTTCAGTCCGCAGGCCGACGCTCTATCCACTGAGCCAAACCGGTTTCGGCAAAGCTTTTTATTTTTAAATAAAATATTTTTATTGATGTCAGAGAGGACAGGGGAGGGAGAGATAGAAACATCAATGATGAGAGAGAATCATTGATCAGCTGCCTCCTGCATGCCCCCACTGGGGGTCGAGCCCACAACCTGGGCATGTGCCTTGACAGGGAATCAACCATGCCCTCCTGGTTATAGGTAGACACTCAACCACTGAGCCACACTAGTTGGGCTCCACAAAGTGTTTTCATTTTTTTATTTTTATTTTTGAAATTTTTAAAAATTGATTTCAGAGAGGAAGGGAGAGGGAGAGAGAAACATCAATGATGAGAGAAAATCATTGATGGGCTGCCTCCTGCACACCCCCCTACTGGGGATCGAGCCTGTAACCCAGGCATCTGCCCTTGATCGGAATCAAACCCGGGACCCTCCAGTCCGCAGGCCAACGCTCTGTCCACTAAGCCAAACTGGCCAGGGCTCCACAAAGTTTCTATGGGAGTTGTATTGAACAAAGCACACCTGCTGGCTCAAGGGGCCTGGGAAGTTTAAAGTGAACAAAGGCCTCTGGGCCCCCAACTTGCTAAGGGCAGCCAAAGGTTAAGAGAGTTGCTCAAAGGGCATGTTTTTCAAAGTGACCAAGAAGGTGCTGGAAGAGGAGGGATATCCTAGAGGGCAGAGGCAAGAGTCAGGATGGGATGTCTCACCTCATCAAGGAACACTTCCCACTCCTGGGCGCCCTGCAGTCAGTTCCCGGTGGGTTTCAGAATTGCTGTAGACAAGAGATTGCTGGGTGTACCCCAGGCTTCTCCTTTCCTGTGGTTCTCCTTCCCAGCTCGCCGGGGCAGGCTGGCTGTGTGGGGGACAACTCAGCCTTTTAGGTGGTAGGTCTCTGGATCCAGAGGAGCTAGCTGCACCTGAGGGGCCACATCCAACCTAGTACAGATCCCAAGACCTTGCACTTTGAGCCTGATGTTGGGTTGGAAGTGTTTTCCAGGTGAATAGATATGAATCATTGGGGCCAGAGGATGGACTGTGGTAGATGTGACTCTAAATTTGCCCTCAATGTTCCACCAGTTCCCTCGCTCACGCCCTTTGTATGTGACGTAGCTGCACCTCTTGTCAGGAGGAGCAGTTTATTTCCCCACCCCTTGGCTCTTAATGCCCTGGCGACTTGTTTTTTTATGGTCAATAGAATGTGTCAAAAGTTCACTTAGAACAGTGCACTAGTTCTATGCCTGGATCTCATGAGGTTTGTGGGCTTTTTCCTGATTTTGCTTATTATGCACACCATCCCCATTACCCTTCTGGGGGACGAGAGGCCAGATGGAATAGAGATGAGCCATCCCAGGCCATTCAAACCAGCTAGTTCTCTTCCAACGAGGTGGCTGGCCAGAGACACAGAGCAAAGCTCATTCAACACCAGAAGAACCACTCAGCTAAGTGCAGCCTAGACAGCCAACCCACAGAATTGAGCTAAGTAAATGCTGTTTTAGGTCACAGAATTTTGTGTTTGTCATGCATTATTATGGCAGTGGATAGCAGATAGAGTTACTAATAACACAGCTACCTTCTTTGAGAAAATTACTGTTAGGTAATTGAATTGAATTGATACCCCTCTCCCGGGAACTGGCTTTTCAGGTCATTTCACTATGGACATTCCTTTTGACCACATTTCACTTGCGGTGACAACTCCGGGGACATTCCCTTTGACCACATTTCACTTGCGGTGACCACTCCGGCTTTGCATAAAGAAGTCTCCACCCAGAAAAAAAGCCCGCCAAAAGTCTTTTAAAAGCCGCTGACTCCCATCACTGGGGGCTGATCGAATCAAATAAATTTGTAATCCCTCACCACTCTGGCCTAGTGTGTTCCTCCTTCGGTGACCTAACAATTACCAAGAGAGATGGTATGAAATCAAATAATTCTCCATTTTTATCAAAGCTGTAAATGATTAATATACCCTCATTGTTTTTAAAATTTCATAGAAGTGAAAACTTGGTGATAATTTAAATAGCCATATTAAGAAATTAAAAAACAACAACAACAGACAAATTACACAGAACTGAAATTCAAGTTGTGGGTTTTGGGTAATATGCTAAGATAATTAGATAGTAAAATATCAACGCATCAGAGTAATGATGAAATTTATAGTTTATCTATATATAAGAGTAATGATAAAATCCGCTTAAACAATACTTTTGCAGGCAAACGTTAATGTCTACTAGCACACAACAAAATAAGTAGTACCAGAAGAGACATAAAAAGGGAAAGATTATGAAAATAAGACTTAGCTTAAAAACATTTCAATTCAGACTTGATTAAAATTAAAAGGCAAGATATGGGTTATGGAATTTGATAAGAAAAAGATCTTGAGGCAAAGCAATCTTGTTTGCACAAGTACTGTAAGAATTCAAAGTGTGAGGCAAGTGACTTAGCATCTCAAAAAGATCCAAATGATTGAGTTGTGCTTACATCTGATGGCCAAGCACAGTTCTTTAAGTTTTCTGTTATGCATTGCTCCGTGTCTCGTGGGGCCAGACCTCATGTAGTTTCACGGGGCATAATTAGAATTCAGAGCCGGCCATTCGGTCTGGAGGAAAAGACCAACATTATCGCGTGTGCCGTGTATTCCCCCCGGACACATCTGGTCAGCGACACACCCTGAGTCGCCAAGAGACAGGAACCCGGTTTGGAGGACCGAGAGCGAGAGCAGACCTTCTACGCATGCCCGGGTGGGCGCTGTCCCCGGGGACCTGTCACCTCGCTGCGCCTGCGCGCAACGTCACTTTCCGGCGCCGTGGGTCAGGGGCGCTGGGCGG